CATGGGTGGAGCAAACGCCAAGGCGCTAAGCCCAATCCACGCCCTCCCTCCCGTCGTCGGTACGAGAGGCTGCTGATGTTTCAACGACCTCATCGCTGCAACCACTCCACCCGCCCACGTCGCGCGCACCCCATCCACGACCACTCCGGACTAATTCCCACCGCTCTACGGCCGCGACTGCCATCACGACGTTTTGCAGCATTCACAGTCGACGATGCGCTAGTCGCCAGCGCCCCGACCTCGCTTTCTTTCACCTGCTGCATCCGACCAGCGCCCTTTCAACACTCACTGCGCCTCGTGCTATCTCGGCGCTTCCATTCTTACACCCAAGCATCTGCTTTCATGAGCGCGCCTCACTCCTAACCTGCGCATTTCACCGCCGACTCCACCGCCAGCTCTCTGCACGCAGCCTCGATCACGATCCAAACACCGCGCGGTTGACATTCTCGCGACAACTTCAAGGAAAAAGCGCGACCACACACTTCAAGAAAGCTATAGACGCGCGCAAAACGGGTGCGCAGACGGCGCCCCAGGCCGCGGGACGGAGGACGACGTAGTATGCCAGGCATTCTCACCATGAACCACACCGGGTCCGACTCAGCGACGGCTTCACGAGATGCAGAAAACAGGAAGCGCAGCCACAACGGGGATCTGACCAATGGCGGACTCAACGGCGCGCGAAGTGACACGCCGGCAGGGGGACCTGCTGTTAATGGGGGTCCTTCGCGCGAAACCAGCACCAACGGCGCATCCATGGCAGTCGCAGCAACGGCCGGTCCCACGCTCGAACAATACTCGGATTTGCCCCCGGAGATTGCTCATATCGGCCCTGAGCAGTACATGTCCCTGTCAACACTGTTGTTGCGGATATCCCAGGAATCTTACAATGAGTTGGAGGAAGTCCTGAAGAACATGGCCGCCATTCAGATAGCGCCAGTGTCAAACGGCGCTCTTCCCAATGGCCTTGGCGCGGCAAATGCACAAGTGAATGCAGAGGCGAACAAGCGTAAAAAGCTGGTTGTGCTTCAATTCGCGCAGGAGCAACGGGCTAAATTCATCAAGCTGCTAGTCCTCACCGAATGGGGAAAGAAAGCTTCCGTTGACATATCGAAACTCATTGATTTGCTGGCCCACGCGAGTACCCAGGCAGCGCATATGGATGCTGCCGACTACAAACTAGAAAAGATTAAGATTCTGTCCAACAATGCCAGAGAAAACAATCCGGATGTTGCGACCGCCCTGGAAGTGCTATCGACAGGAAAAGCGTCATGGATGCCGAGCCTGGGCTACATACCGCCTGAGCCTATCTCTGCTGAGCAGGCCCTCAAATTCCTTCGGTATATGAACACCTCTCTCTCCATACGCCTAAACGTACACGAAAGCCTCCCACGACACCTCCAAGACTGGCGTGTGCACTCTGGACGCGCAACTTTTGTTGTTGCTAATGAGCTGGAATTTGACGTCATGTCTTTTGTGGAGGATGCTTCCGAACAGTGGTTTCTCATCGATCTCCGGTTGTTGTTCACTCCTGCACCTACCATTACCGTCGGTAGCCGTTTCTTCATGCAACTCAAGCTGCAGGCCGACGTAGTTCTAAAGGAGAAGGGTCTGACCGGCCTTTTCGACTTCCTGAACAACTTCGTTCTAACGCACAAGATCTCAGTACTTCGATCGCAGGCTGTTAATCTCGTTCGCAGCGGCTGGGCTGGATCTCTCAAGGTTGAGCCTGTGCATCGCTTGCTCGTCGTGTCTTATTGGACTGATAAGCCTGGAAAAAAGAATTGGATTGAGATTGGCGTATCGAACAACAAACCAAAGAACGGCAAGGTTTCGTGGAGAGGGCCTCCCATACCGTCGCTGACTACGCGCTGGTTCCGCCAGGGCAAAGAAGTGAAAGATGTCAAGTTCCATTTTGACTGGAAGGATCTCTCCATGGAACGCGTTATCAAGCAAGTCATCGCACGCCACACGAGTGATATCTTGCGATCCACAAAGGAGAGTTTCAAGTCTGGAGTGACGGCGAACGCACATCTTTCCGAGACCGAACCTGCAGACTCTACACTCAACGCATCGCTGGGTACGAAATCTACATCAGTTACCCTATCATTAGAGTCGGTCACTGGTAACTACATCCTGCGACCAGCTAGCGCACTATCAGCGCGAGCGGAGAATGCTTTCAACCAAGGCAGAGAGCCATCACAGATTGCTCATGTAATGACGCAAGTGCTAGCCGGCACATTGCTCAGTCTGATCCAGAAGAACGCACAACAACTCGGCTGGCAATCGGTCGCAAGACAGGCTTTGAAACAGCAGGTAGTGTCGGCTGCTGTCAAATTGGATGTCATCTCTTCCACGCTATATTGCCCTCGCGGCTGGACACCAAACTGGGCATTGGCAGCGGTAATCGACTCTTCTGGCGAATCGTGGTGGATCTTTGAAATCGGATCTGGTGGAAATAGCCTCGAATACGCTGAGCAGATCAAGTTGGACAGACCTGATGGAAGCTCCTTGTCCATCAACCGCAACACCGTGGCAAGTCTGGAGAGGGTCGCTGTGCAGCTTCTGTCGTTCCGCGTCACAGCTCGCCAACTAGAAAAGGAGAAGAAGAATTTCAGTTTGCGACCTGAGTTAGGGCAAGCAGGCTCATTCGTGGAAGCTGGTTGTGTTCCCCGTCGATGGGTGCTGCATGTGCAAACTCCGGACCTTCTTGTGCCCCAAGCAGACGAAGACTCATGGCTTGAATCGGACATCAAGATTACATGTGAAGGCTTGAAAGTTGGGGGTCAGGACGTCTGGCATATGGCTGTCGGTAGAATGGTCAAGTCTGTTGCTGCAGACATGCATAAGCTCATGGCAGCTTCACCACAGACCGCCTTCAAGTTCTCAGAAGATGGCAACTTCAGGATTCTTCTTGCCACGCCCTTTGGGCAAGATATCCTAGGAGAGCTGCGAGCACGACTGCGAGATGTTAACCGTCTTCGTACCTTTGCCAGTACCCTTCAGAAGCGTCAAATGCGGCTTTCGTCCTCCTCCTTACAGCGCGTACAGTTCCAGTACGGTCCATCGCCATACTCTGCAACCGTCAACTTCGGCGCTGAAAAGGAGCTTACCATCGAGCTGTCACATGACAATCCGCACCATCGGATTCTCCATCTGCTTACTGAGATCGCCAATGATCGGTTGCCTTTCTTCCCAACCACGGAGGTCAGCGATGTCGATGGCCTAGATCGCTTCTGTACGACTCTCGTCGCGACCCGTCCCCTCTTCAAGGCCCTGCGTGAAGTCGAGGAACGATCTCCAGGCAACTATAGTAACCCCGCAATTCATGTTCACTCGGTCCTCAAATACCGACTCACCTATGACAATCCGGTCTGCACTTTCGACGTGCGCCTTCAGCCCAAAGATGACCAGGTGTACTGGTTCATCGAAGACAACTTGCGTCCAAAGGATCCTCCAAATCAAGCCACAAATCTACCAACTCCCGAGCGTGCGCCTGGTCATAGGCGTCTCGACAGCCTACAGGCCAAGCTGAAGGAACTCTTCAGTGGGAACGGCCCAGGATGGTTTGGCACCCGAACCGGCATGGTGGCGGCCTTGGACGCGGTCCCTGAAGCACTACTCAAGCTGGACGAGTGTGTTTTGAGTTGTAAAATGGCAGGAGGTTATGTTGCACCGCCACCACTTGAAAAGCCACCGCAACAAGCGCAGAACCAGGGATCTGGTCCAGGACAGGCGCCTGCACAGGCGAACGGAAACCAGCAGGGAAACCAGCAGCAGCAGGCTAGGATGCAACAACAACAGCATCAAGCGCGTCAGCAGCAGCAAAGACAGGCTCAGGCGCAAGCTGGGAAACAGCACCCGAACATGCAGCAACATCCCAGAAGCCAACCTCCGAACGGCAGACCCTCGCAGCAGCAGATGCCAAACGGCCGCCAGCAAATGTCGCAGCAGCAACAGCAAAGTCGAGGCGGTCCAGGAGGTCGTCCAGGGCAGTCCAAAAACGACGTCATCACCATTGATTAGAAGACCTTGGGATGAGACCAGCATACCAGCTGTAATTGCGTTCACTCCATTCACGATTTGTGTACAATGTTTTCTTTGCACGTTCTTCACGTTTTTCTAGCATTGGGTTAGCGGGACTACGGTATAATTTGCGCTTTCAACAGGTTCTGCTGTCTTGCGGTTCACGGTGGGGTTTCCCACCGGATTATGTATTCTATCTGACATGGACGCGAGGTCGGCTTTATCGGCGGACGATTTGGGCCCGCGCTTTTCCTCTTTTGCTTCATTGCTTGTATGATCCTTCTTTTTATACCATGGTGGGGAATTGCGACGAGGGTAGACATGAACAGTAATCACGCCATGGCTAGATGTGAGGCTGGCGATCTACCGATATAGATATCAAATGCATAGATGCTATGAAAGGTGAATTGTGCTCAAGCTGGAGAACTCGTGTGCACCGCAAAGGCATGACCATGACGTGCTTGTTGACCCAGTCCGCGAATTCTATATCAAGAACCTGTTGGCTCGACCGGGTACTGCTGCACAACACCCTGACACCTCGTGAAAACCTCACCCTTCATTAAGTCTTCGCCCTGCATATTTCCATACCTCCTTAGTTCCGGGCTCACGATCAGTTTAAGTGGCCTTTCATCCGGATTTGGCGACGACAGCAGGTCGCCGCTTCCTGGTGGTAGGATCATCATTACTCTGTATGGTTGCGAGCAGAGTTCCATCCATGTCTTCGCGCAGAGGCGTATAAGAGTCTCTAACGCCTCGGCGTCCTTCGGTTCGAGAACAGCTACCTTAGATAGTACCTGGTGTATTGCACTCAAAAGCGAGGTGATGGTAGCTTCATAGCTGGCTTTCAGCTTTTTCTCATCAGGTGTGGTTTCATTTGATGGGTTCATTAGATCGAGAACCGCCCTGGCCGCCTCGCAGCGACGGGCTTCAGTTGCCGCAGGTATACTAGGCCACTGTGTAACATCTAGGTTTATGCATTAGTCAAGTATCTTGATTCGGACGAACGAGGGCCTACCTTTGGTATAAACTGTTAACCATACATCATCACAACTCTTTCCTTCCAACCCCAAGATAGCGAACGGAGTGCAAAACACGTGCGTGTATAGTAGAGTCCACATAGTGTTCTGCAGGATAGCCTTCTTTAACACCCTTGTATTGACTTTGTGGATGCGTAACAGTTGATCGTTGGAGAATGGCCATTCCACTTCACGGCGCATGTCCCATTCTAGATTCGTGAAGTCTTGTACCTGACTCACTACTGAAAAGAACTGAGTAGAGATGTCACGGTATCGCATCACCTTAACACTTCGAGCTTTCGTGCGCTGTGGGTAGGCCTTGTCGATGAATGCCTGCTTTAACTCCTCGTTTGCTAATCGAAGCTGCATAATTTCGAGGGCATGTTTCTCTACCAGCTCAGCGTTTTGTTTCTTGAGCAATTCTCGAAGTCGTTGTTGTTCCTCGCTGAAGTGAGTGGTTCTCGCCCGTACTTCATCGCGCATGCGCAGTCTTTCTTCGTCAGCTTTGGCCTTGACATGTCTGAGATGAGAAAGTTCTTGTCTCTGCTCCGCCAGGGTGGTCTGAAGCTGCAAGATTTCTTGCGTGTGCTTCTTGGTCAGTCCGGCTTCCTGTCGTTTGAGATCCTTCTCGTGTCGCTTTTGTTCTTCTCGAAGTTTCTCTTGCTGAGTTTGTAAATCTTCGCGCAACAGCCGTCCTTCTCGTTCCGCATTGAGCTTCAATCGAGCGACATTTGACTCATACTCATTCACCGTCATTTGATGGCTCCCCATCTCTTGCCGCGTTTGTTCGCAATGTTTCTCGTATTCGTTCTTCATCCGCTCGGCAAAGCTGACCTCTAGATCTTTTATGCGAGTTTCGTAGGTGTCTTCCACTTCTCGCAAGTGCGCGTCCCACTTCCAGTGTTCTTCGTCCATCTGCTCTTTGAGACTGCTAATATTTTGCTCATACCGCTTTTGCTCTTCCTCTTGACGAGCCGCACCTAACTGTCCTTCGGAAGATGCCTTGGTTGACTTGTCCTCTTTATTCTGTTGCTGTGAACCATCGTGTATTCGGGCCTCGAGATAGCTCTTTTCTTGTTCGTGGATTACATATTGCTCGCCCAGCATGTCTTGAGCTTTCAGCATCTGTTGGTGCTTGCTGTTGACCTCCGTCCTCAGGCTCTCCACCTCGGTCCGACTAGCTCGCAGTGTACTTTTCAACGTATGAACCTCGATCTTCAAACTATCCAAGAGCCCCGCGTCTGCTCGATGATTGTCCAATGACCGGTGAGCCGCATCAAGTGAATGACAAAGCTCACGATATCGATGCAAAACCTTGGCAGCCTCTTCTTCTGTTGGTCCATCCAACAGTGACTGTAGCATTGGGAATTCCTCTCCAGCTCTAAGCAAGAGTTCCTCAACTCGAGGTACATCCTGCGGGTTGGATGAGAACTGTCAGTACTTTGTCAGTCTAAATTCTCACGATGTACCATTAGATGAACTCACAACCTCGTCGTGCGGCTCCAACGGACCTTTGTCGCGCTGCAAGACTGCTTTTGTTGGTTTTTTGGGATCAACTTCCTTGGATGTTCCGCCGGATGATACGCGATTCTTTCGTGAAGTAGCAACTGTTTCGACTTTGGCCGAGGCAGGGGTGGCAAGGCTAATGCTACGGCCCAACTGTCTTGGCTCACCCGACTGAGGTGTAGGTGACACTCGTAGTTCGTTTCTGTCTTTCAATCGAGCCTGCCGAATTACATTCATGACTGATTGCCTGGCTGGTGATACACCTGTCGTCGTGCCAGGTGGAAGTGCGTCGGTAAAGCCTCCTTTACTTTAAGCTTGGCGCAAGTGCTTGAGGTTCCACGAAAGTTTGGCTCGATGTTTACTCTGCCTAGCTTGATAATTCGCTTCTAGGAGCCTGTCGTACGCCCCCAGGATCATTCGTACCCTGGTCACGTATACCGTTTGAGCAGATTTCCAAACATCTGCAACAAATTCTGATTTATTGGAGGCGAGACTTCGCAAGAATGAGTGCGATACAGTGGGTCTGCGGAGTAAAAGAAATATACCCAGGTAAGCTGGAGCCTTGTGCGTCACGTAACCTTATGGTGGCTTACCGCACTCCTAATTCGGCCTACCCCACGCGAGCCTTCATAATCGGTCTGTCTCCTATATTCGCAACGTCATGATAGCTTTCCGGAAGCCCCGTTGCCTGGTGCGAGTGGCGACTTCGCACCGTGATGCCTCGTAAACGCGTTCCCTACTTAGGCACTTTTGTAAGCTCTCATAACATGGTAGTCCTAGAATGAAGCAGATCTCGGAAAGGCTCGCCATACAAATTGGGAGCATCGTCGCCGTTGGCTCCTAACCTCGCGACATCCTCAAAGCCTTACTCTTGGACAAAAGAAAGCATGACTTCCCTGGTTGTCGTGGTCACATCTGATTGGTCGACCATCATGTGCTGGCCTGCGAGTAAGCCTTGGAGGACGCCTCCGTCCTTTCGGTGGTGCGGAAAGCGGCCCTGGAACACACGTTCCATGCACTAGGGGGCCAGGAAACGCCAAAGCTCGACTTATAGCAAACACCCTGCAAAACACGGCAAACAGTGCATAGCTGCGCCTGATAGGCGCATGTTGTATTGGTATAATTTCCAACTGGTCTTACAAAGCGTAGGCAAGCATAACTCAGAAACCTCCAGTCTAGACACAACAATGTAGAACGGCAAGGTGACATATAGTATAGGTCTAAGGGGTCGCTACGAACTTCAAATAATAGCACCGATATCGTACGCATCAACCTTCTTGTTATCCATGAAGAACATTTACTAACCCCAAGGACTGCGACGCCTCTGGGGCAGTCTGTTCTGTTTCAGACTGGCTGAAGTTTGCTTCATCAGCCTGTGGAGGTAGTCTACCACCTTTGCGCGTGTGCACCTTCCGATATATAAGATAACCGAGAGCCACTGCTACAATAGCAGCCGCCACACAAACGCCCGCTATGCCACCGGTCGAGAGCCTACGAGTGCCAGAAGGGTCGCCGCTGTTATCATCTGTAGGTACGGCAGTGCTTGAGGGCTCGCCAGTCAAACTCGGGGTTTCGGAAGATGCAGGCGATGTTGGAGGAGCGCTTTGCGTCGAAGCAAGGGAGGCTGCTGTTACGGATGTTGACTGCAAGCCATATGTACTCGAAGTCCAGCGCGATCCCTCGGAGTTCTCCGTTGATAATATAGGCCGCTGGGTCTCGTTTTCGATGCTAATGTATACGCCGGACGGGGTGAACATGTTGCTTATTCTGAGGCTGCCGTCTTCTTGTGAATCCAGCCGCCAAAACTGCCCAGTTGTTTCTTGGGTTGCGAAAAATTGTAGGTCGATGATCTGATAATTGGTGACGCCTAGCGCGAAGTCGTCCCCCTTCCCCACTGTATGCAGCCAATAGTATCCTTGAGAGCTGGTCTTTGTTGCAAACCACTGCTGACTGTCATGCCCGGTGACAGGCTCCAATATCACCGAAGCATTTTCCGGGGTAGAAGCAAGTGCACTAGACCAGCCGAGCGACTCAGTCTGCAGTATGAACGTAGTAGACACATCGATGTCAACCATTGTGGCAACCTTGGAAGGCTTAGTGTCGAGAGGGACAGTTTCAATCGCGGTGTATAGAAGGCTACACATCAATATATATGAAGAGTAAAACCCGAGGTTGTTTCCTGATAATCCCATTAGAGCTGCGGCTGGTTCTTCTTTAGCGCCAACGCATGGTGTGCATCGGGAAGCATTCGGGAGCCGCCACTATATTGCCTTGTTGCCTATTTTGACTCAGCCTCGTCCGCAGCATGCTGCGGTCTCTTTCGCGCTTCTGATTACCGGTACAGGATACCATTGTATGGCGCATTCACCTAGTGGATAATACTTGGCTGATCTTCCGCTGCGATAAGTCAGGCTGTGGGTACCTAGGTAGCCGAAGAACAAAGCGCAAAACAGTCACATGAATTCATTCAAACAGCATGATCATGGTTTATCATGCATCCAGTTATGGATAGACTACCGCGCCACGCGATAGTTTGTGGTGCTTCCACCAAATAGAAGCCTCCAAAGAGCCGCCGATTAACTCCAAGACCAACTTCAGCGTAGCATTATAGCGTACGGGCTGTTGCTGCCATTCTTCCACTGTGAAGCCGACTTTATCATAGCGGATATCCAACACACATGCGATGTCCAAATCTGAGAAGAAGTTAGTGACCAATGACATGGAGGTCTAAGCGGATCGACCGACCTTCCTTGGCATTCTGGTAACGTCGAGGCCGCTGATCTTCATCATCGGAGTTTCTGAAGATCTCCAATTGCGTCTTGCCAGCACTAAGATCCCTTAGTGTAAGCTGAAATGACACCTCCTCTTTACGCGGCTGATCCGACAGGACTAGGTCACCCTTATTGAGTAGCCATGTGAGTTGAGATTGCGCGTACGTGGCTCCATGGATCTGGGTCATATCCTTTTCTACGTGGAACGTATTTGAGTAGAGTTGGTCGAAGCAAACCGCGTAGTTGTGTCGGCAAACATCGGTCCTTCTCAAATTCGGTATCGCATCTTTCTCGATACCACACACCACTGCTCCTCGAACCACTGCTGTCCAGGACTCCTTCGGCTGTCGGTAGCTCATCTGCATCTCTTCCTCGGTGATCGTCTCCTTGAGGCGATATTTTAGGTACTCAGACGCCCCAAAACCACCCACAAGAAACAAGTGCTACACGAAGAGTCAGTATTGAGGATCAGTCACTGGTGGATCGCTAGGCAGATACCTTTGGACGACTGCCTCTTTCTTCGATGCGATCAACATGTTCCCAGATGAGCTCAACTATCTCTTTGATGCAGGAGTCGAAAAAGCCTCGCATTGTCGATCTACAAATCATAATGAGCAGTGATGATATCAGGAGGCACTAAACATACTGTGGAATGGTAATTAGGCCCTTGTTTACTTTACCAAAAATGTCAAGGTTCTCCAACTCCCCTCGTAGGCTGAATCGAACATCAGGTGTTGAGAATGCAAACTGCTTCTTGACATCGTCAAACGCTTGCATGAGTTCTCTCATGGCGGGAGTTTCGGAGGCGTGATTTGCGTTTTTGTCGATGTCCAGATTTGGGTCGAGCTTTAGATATTCCTCCTCTCCAAGCAGCATTCTTAGCCACTTTTTGAACTCAAGGTTGATGAAAATGGATCCGCAGCGACTGCCTGGTATAGTAATTAGGCTCTGCATGGTCTCAGACTCAGTCTTACAAACCTGTGGGCTTGCCAATCTGCTCCAATTCGAGAGTTGGCGATCGTTGCGTAACTCGATATGAAACAACATCCTACATTCAAGATTAACCGACCATTGAAACAGCGCCAGGTACAAAAGTGTCATAGAAGGCTTACAACAGTACCGCCACCTGCGTCGCAGAGAATGAAGTAGTCCTTAGACTTTTGACGCCGTTAGTTACGGATACCTCCAATCGAAATTGACGCTTACTTGGAGGAATTCTTCTTCTTTTTCGTCACGATACCACCGCGCAGTGTAAAGCGCAGCTGCCTCGGGCTCTGTCACGAACATGATTGGCCTCAGCTTTGGAAAGTTGTCCTTATTAAACCCAGCTTTCGTGAGAGCTCTGTATGTGGAGTTCATAGCCATATAAGACCACTTCTAAAGCTTCGTCAATAGATTTTCACGCCGAGAGATCTGTGGACATACTGTGGGTATTGTCACAACAATATCCGTCGTTGTGTGTTTGGCGAACACATTATTCTCGTCTACTCGCACTTCCATTTGCACGTAAGCAAACAATTTTTCGAGGTAGTCTGTCACAATCTCCTCCGGGCTCTTGTGAGAATACGGCGGTAGGTCGTTCTGGCCTTTGCTCAACATCATCTCGTCAAAGTTCAGATTCTTCATGCCGTCCAGAACCTGTAAAGTCATGTCAAGTTCCCCTAATAGATCTTCCACGCCAAGCTCCAACTTAGTGTGAATCATTGTCACTGCATCTGCGCTCAGACTCTTACCCCATTGCTGCTCCCCGGCCTGACTTGAACGCGAGTAAGAGATCACGCTTGGAACCTTCTCCTCGTTGTCCATCTGCGGACCCCATTGCTCAATTACATCAATTTCCTCGAGAGAGCATTCTGCACCTGAAGGTGTAGCCCACGCAATGCCTATATGCATCCCTTATTTTAGGACTAGCACGTCGTACGAGACGAAACAATGTTCACTCACCACTGAATGTCGTGCCATAGTCTATTCCCAAAACCAGTCGTAGTTCCTGAGGTTCCTGTAAAATCTTCTCCTCGCCTGCTGGAACAGTGGCATCAATCGGCCCATGACCTTTCCCAGACCCTGTACTGATGGGTGCTTCCAGTTCTGCCTCCTCGGTCTGCTCCAGTGCAGATACATTCTCGAAGTGGTAAATTTTGTTCATTGGGAAAGGTTATGCAATGGTATTCTCAGGCGGTTGTGGCTTCGTTGAGACTTCGAAGATCTGGATCTGATCCTCACTTTCCCATTGGATAGTGGTTCCTGTCTTGGATGGTGAAGTAGAACTCTAGACATACTAGAGCATAGAGTAAACGGTAGGGCGAAGACGACGTCAGCCGAAAGCACGCATCATAACTGGGTAGTCAACGGTTGGCACGTCGTTCAGAGTTTGCCACACCCATAGCACACAGCCGTGTGCGTCCGTGCTCATGTGGTGTGACAGCGATTTCAAGTATGCGCCGGATTTGGAAGTAATTGACGAGTGAGCTGAAGAGGTCTCGTGTTCGTATGCATGAAGCTCATAAGCGAGGCAAGGCGTGGGACCAACAGCTTCGCACGCTTACCGCCACCTTACTGCGCCTGCAAGAATAGAGTGCGGGTTTGGACTCAGACTAGGGTCTGATCTTTCGAGATTGGTTGGGGCTGGTCTGTTAGATGCGGTATGACAAAACGCTTTCCTAGGCAGAAGCGATATGCGTGGCATTAGGAGTCTCTATAGGCATGCGAAGAATGCGAATGACGGCTGAGCCACCATTTCCCACACTTGATGCGGGGGTCGCAACGTCTCAAACCGAGGGTCAACAACTCTGCTCATAATTACTTGCAAATCGCATGTACCGGTGATACCAACCACCACTAGTGAGCGCTAGCTTTCGAAACCTTCAACAGCTGCGAGTTCATCACGGGTTGTATGCATGGGTCGTCAGGTTGATTTCAACAAATTAGTTACACCTCGGCATCGTACCGGATTCAGAAGAAGCTGATACTTCCTTGAGATTGGTAAGCACTGAGACAATTAGTTGAAAATGACAAAACAGTAATTCGGGTACTATGTAGTTGCCCAACGAGCTCATGAAGAGATGTCGGTCATGTCCTCGACCAAAGGCGGCAAGATGTTAGTATCACGGAGGAAGCCCGTGCAAAAGTCTGAGAACGTCCCAACGTCGCCAAAATCTGTTCTCAGCAACCTTGCATCCGTCAATGAGCCGATACGGCGTGGATCGTTCAGCTCTCATCTGGAAAAGCCTAACGGTGGAAAGCGCGAAGCTATCAAGGCATCATGGAAAGAGAGTCAATTTCACAAACTCAAAACTAAGATGACCTCCGGAAGGAAGGCAAAGACTGAGAAGATCGAGTCTCTAGAAAAGCATAATGAGAGCACCGAATTGACGACTGCTCTTGACACTCCAAGTACGCTGCAGCCGGAGTCTTCATCAGCGGAGGCGTTACCCACTAGCAATAGCAATGAACCCACTGCTGACTTGGAAGCTCCCGAGCTAAGTACCACTGTTTCACCAACACATTTGCCCGATACCTCATCCGAAGTGTCAGTCATCTCGCTCGTTGCCGATCTCGATCAGTCAACGAGGTTTTTGGATGATGGGGGCGATAGCCAGGAAACGAAATTTGCCATTTCCTCACACGACCCACCCCTGCTGATACCTCGTCAGCCTGTCGAGCCGACAACAAGCCCTACATTCAGCATTTTCGAGACATCAGAGCAGTTGCAACAAATCAGAGCGTTGATCTTGAAGCAGGCATATGACTTCCTGACAGAAATGCCTGCTGATACGACCACCATGGACTATGTGGACCAGATACTCCGGGCGTATCGCGTATTGCTGCAGAGGTACAGTTCGAACTCGGACAATCTACAGCAAGCGAAAGATCAACTGAAAGTATACCATAATGTCGAAAAGGAACTCAGGGATACACAGATGGAGTTAAGAGAGACAAAAAGAAGATTAAAAGATGCAGAAAAGCAAAAAGGTAGATATGACAGAGAGTCTACTCAGCAGAAGGGACGATCAGCACAATTGGAACGACAGTTGAGGACGCAGCTATCTAAAGACAAAGCACAGTGGCTATCTGAACGCAAAACCCTCTTGGAGGATAATGAGGGGCTAATGATGTCGTATAGCCAACAGATACAGAGCCTGCAAAAAGAGAAACAAGATCTCTATCAACATACAACACTAACGCAGCGAGAACACGACCAACGCTATGTCCGTTTACGAAACGAGAAGAATGCCATGATTACGGACTTGAAACAACAGATCGATCTTCTGACAGATGGAATTACACGCGCAAAGAAATCTGCGGAAGACCAACTGAGCGTGCAGAGGGCCACGCTCAAAGCAGAACATGAGCATGATCTACTCATGCATGACGAGGATGTTAAGAAACTCCGGAGGGAATTGCAGATGCAAAAGACCAGTCTCACCAAGGCGCATACGCAAGAATTACAGCAACTGCAGGAAAGATCTCAGAGTGAGAAGGTGGAGCTTGATAAGAAGCATGACGAGGAAATGGCACGATTGCGATCTCAGCGCGAAGAGCTGAAAGTGGCGCTTGTTGTGAGAGACCATTTCAAGGGCTTGAAAGATCGTGAGCTTACTGCGCGATACAAACGAATCTCCACTGAGATCGAAAACTTCGCAAGCATGGAGTGGAACACTCGATGCGAAGCCAACTGGCCCCTCTCAGAGGCACAGCTTATGCGGCTTCATCCGAAAAATACAAGAAGACTGAAGCAGCAGATAGTTCAGCACTCCATGTGGGTACTTCTGTATGAGTACATTTTCAGTCTACCATTCAAGGTATTTGGGAAAGAAGGCGTGAGGATGAACAATGACTGGACCAGTATCTACGATTTGGGTAAGTCTGGTATAGTCGCTCAGATGATGTGAGACTAATTATTGCAGATGTGTCCTCACTAGAGTGGCCCACGATATCCTCAGAGATTGAAAAACAGCGGTACGAGACTGCTCGTTCACTTCTTACGGCCATTGAAGCACCTGGTCAAGGATCGCCGGAACACCAAGAGCTACGTACTGCATACAGCGAAACGATCTCAACATTGGTTACGATCATCTCACAGGCTATCGAAAGGGTTGCATCACTGAACGAGAGAGACCTGAAGTTACTTGATGCTCTTGTGAACCTCAGTGGGAGGACTTGGCTAGAATGTTGTTCTCAGAGATACAGACTCATCATGCAGCTGCCTATAGCCGAGGGCAATATTCTCAATCTGCCCCGCAAAGAAGCCCAGGCACTGACGCTGGTTGTCAGTCCGGAACTAAAGCGGTACGGCAGCTCTCAAGGCGAGCAGCTTCACGGCGGCGAGCCGATCACCGGCTGGAAAGGACTTACCGTATCGTATCCAGCATGATAACAGGTGCGTTGGCAGAAGCCACGAAGCGGGGTCGATAGGACGAGAATGTTGAAACTCAGCCTTGCATATGCGCTAGTGTATACGTTGCTTCTCCGGTGAGCGCATGCATCAACCAGTGCATATAAGCCTACATGCAGGCTGCCACCTAGTCAAAGGCCCAGGTGGCGCTCATGAGATCTTGCACATGCGATTCCAAATGAGTGGTGGCTAATTCTGGTGAACAAGGCTGAGATCATGAGCATGATGCGGGGCTCCTGTGGGCACTCTCACCCTTTACCCTTTACTGGTCCTCGTCACTTCACATCGTAGCTTTTCAAGCTTGAAGCATTGATTTTGACTAGAGCCACTTGTTGGACGTGATCAGGTCAGAGATCAGGAAGGCGCTTGGGCTGTTTCAACGGAAGTGGTACGTATTGGCTAGGCCTCTTGATTGGCCGAAAGATTTTTTGACAAGTACAGCAAAGGCTTCGGAGATGGGGTTACGAGATAGCTTCAGGGCCGTCGTGAAACCGAAACGGGAGCCAGTCAATGCACCCAGACCACGAGTCAATGTACCAGCACCTCCGACCATTGAAAAGGGTGCATCTTCCCTGTTGCCACTAGCAAAACCCGCGTTACAGCGTCCGACCACAATAAGGCCCTCGAAACCCGCACCGCCAAAGCCACGCGTCACCCCTGAACAAATCCGAGCCCTTAGAGACTTTATCAGGCAACGATATGCGCTTGACATTCAGATATGGGAAAAGAGAAACAACACAGTGTTTCAACGGAGGCTATTGAATGAGAAGATGAAGAAGGCTGATGCAGCTCTGATAGACATCAATAGGTGCCTAGTGGATTGGAATTACCCTGAACGCTTCGAAAGTCGCGAGCAGTACGAGAAATTTCATGAAATCAAGCACCGGATAGAGACAGGATACAAGAGGAAATGGCAAGACGAACCTCCGTGGGTGCATATAGACACTGGAGGGGATCCAAGCCTGGGGCCCTTTGAGACTGATAGTCGATCGTTGTCTTCAAGACCGCGATGATGGTGAAAGGAAATGGCAACGCAGGCCGGAAATGATTGTAATGATAGTGTTGGTACGACCTGACTTGAAGCGCACAAGGTGCGACTTACCAAAAGACCACCTTATTTCATCTGCAGTTCAGATACATAAAACCTGCGCCGAAGAGCGAAGTAGCTCCAAGTACCCCACCACTGACTGGATGTGCCCAATACACTCCGCCGGGTGCCTTACAGGACACAGTCACATATGCAAAGGACGAAGTCCGCAGCTTCACCTGGCACATTTTCCAGCTCACATTAGCATGTGATTGTACTGGTATTGCCTACCCAGATTCGCAGGTTGTGTCTACCTCGAGAGGAGTACGGTCGGATTGTTTGTGCTCCAATACCACAGGTCAACTCAACCGCACCTACGCCGCCGGTACGCCGAAAAGCCTAATCGGATGCATCGTATATTGAGAACACCGAGGGTCGACTGGTACACATGCATAACTCTGTTCCGAAGAGACAAGTCGAAGGGCCTCCATCATTTCAACACAGTGCCCCCGGATATTGAGGCGACAGAGAACGTGGCCATGCGCATTCTTGTCCGATTCATCTTCTTTCGCAGAGTGTTTTAATAGCGGCTATCGGTGCGACTCCAGTCCGAAGGGCGCCTCTGTTCGTCATTGCTCGTGCAAAGCGCGTCGCGGGTGTTATGCGGGTTGGGGACGATTCGACGGTTCGGCGCGTCGTGTCTTGCGGATAGGGCGTGGTGATC